CCGCCAACAACCCTCCCGGTACCAGCCTGTGGCGGGGCGCAGCGCGGGGCCTCTGCGCCCAGCGGGGAGGCGCAGGTCAGTGCCCGGGTTATCGCAAAACGGCCGGTGGTATTCGGACAACCATCGCTGTGTAAAACGCGAGATACGCAGCCGAGTTTATGATGAATGGTTTCCAAAAGAAATAAAAGAAGGATGTCACTTGGATGAGGCATGTCGCTCCCGTACCTGTACAGAAACATAAGTGCAGGTATGGTTAAACCCCTGAAATTAGAGCAGAGGTTAGAGACATCTGAATTGTCGTTCTATAGGTGAAGCACCTTACAACCACTTTGCCTCTTGGCTCCTGAGTAGCAGTCTCTCTTGGCCCCCAAAAAGGTCATCAGAAGGAGGCTGGGGATTTCAGTAGGGAAAATTTCCCAATCAAGTTATTCTCCTGAATTTTAGACAGTCTCTAATGACACCTACTTAACTTTCCCGATCGGATTTTAGCCAGACGTGTACAGAACGTTTAACCCGGGAAGCAGAGTGCAGCCCAAATCCTCTGTGAATCCAGCCGTGTATTTTCAACTGTCAGAAGACGTGCTCATGCTTCATATGTAAACACAGTACAAGACCAGCTTAAATGAATTAATTCTTCCCTCAAGGATCTCTCCTTAATGGAGGAATTTCCAGAACATCCCAGGAATATCCCAGCCTGAGACCAGCGATATGCCTGCCCTAGCCTCAGATTTATTTGTCTGAGGTAGGAGAGGGGTCAAAAGCACTCAGCCTTCCACTTTGGTAAGTTATGTGCCAGATGACCTGATGTAGGAGTAACTATTGATCTCTGCTTATAACTCCTGTACATATCGACAGTCCTGGAACCCCAGATTTAAATACTAAGAGTGTCAAAGACAACCAAGCAAATAGCTTGCTGTCTGCAAACTTTCCTTCTGGCAAAATATTTCTTGTGATTGTTGTGATTGCTTCCAGTGACGTTGAAAAAAAAAATCTGAAATTTTATGAGTTTATAGCCATGCAAAATAATTTTATCTTTCAAAATAATGTTTTAGGGTTTTTAAATAGATTATTTTTCCCTTCTCCTCCTGTATAATGCTGAAACTTAAGGGGAAATGGGAACTTCTCCATTCTATATAATTCTTGTCAATAACATATATCATAGTCCATTTAAAAGTCCAGCAGAATACCCTATTGATTTCACTCAACTATCCACCACACAGAAATTTAATGAAGTTGATAGTGAGACAGGACAAGCCCCATGTTTTTTGCCAGTGTACCAGGTACCTTCAGTATAGCATTGTGTCATCTCTAGGTCCATCACAAGATGATCTATTTCAATAGCATGTGAGAAGCAATTGTTCTTACAGGCAATAGATAACCCTAAAACAGCAGCATCCAAGAAAAGCAGAGCAGAAATCACTAGCTACTATTTCCAATCAGGAAAAAAAAAAAAAAAACAAAAAAAAAAAACACATTAGGAAGAGCTACATTTTACAGAAGCAAAATTATGTTCTATTTTATTTCATATGGTCTATTTTTTAATATTATAATCCAAATAAAAACAACCTTAATTTAGAAATCTACATTAAAACCTGGAAGAGGCACTGTTGAGATGTAAGGAGGTGCATGGACCAGTACCCAAAACATTGGATATAATTTTCTACCACATATGTCCAACCAAATCCATATAAACTTTTGAACAAGTTTGGCAAGAGCCATAGTGGTTTTTGCTTTACTGCCATGTGAAGGGAAAAAATCCCTTGTGTATTTGGTATCCCTTGAAATAGGCAAGATCATTGTGGTAAAATGTGTTTATATATTTTTAAGACAATCATGAATCAAGACAATTCTCTGAATGCAATTTATGGTAATAGTTTCATGCCTGTTTCTTAAATTGCCTAGTCTACATAGCTGCCTAAATGGGTAAGTGCCAATGTAAACTGTTGGTATTAGGTGCCGCCAAATGAAATCATCGCCCATTTTAGTGCCCCTTACCAAAGCATGCTCCTCACTGGCAACCTTCAGTACATAAACAAATTGATGAATCATCTTACTAGCTCAGAGGGTGATAGTGAAATTAAATTCCTTCTCTTCCCAATGCAACAGTTTAGTCATTTGAGACAGGACATCACTTTGTGTTGGAAAGCAGTACTGGGTAAATCTCAACCAGCTTCCAGAACAGTGAAGGGCTCGGGTTGCAGCAGGAACGATGTGATTATGATGGGCAGGAAGCAGAACAGGACAAGTTCCAGCAAAAACTCCACAGAATGCAATAACGAATATTATTCTTGATGTAGATCTTTAATAGGTGGTTCAAAAAGTTATACCAAGATTAATTCTACAAATGCATTAACCTCCTAGAGCTGTTTCTGTACAATTTGATTCAGAATGGTAGGAGTTTTCTATAGAAACACTTGCCTGTGCCCTGCAGCAGTCACCCTGAGCCCAGTTCTACAGAAGTATCTTCACAAATAATGATGTAAAGTGGGAGACACGGAGAAGTAGATAGGGAATTATGAAAACACTTTGTTCTTTTTCTCTCCCGCTTCCAGTCAGCTGCAGTGTCTCACTATCAGTGAAAGCTGGCAGAGGGACCAATGACAAGTTGCCACAAGATAAGAAAGTCACAGACTGCTTGGCAGTACTTTGAGAAGTGTCTCCTGTGGAGGATCTGCACCAAAGCTGATTTTGATTTCTCTTTGTCAAGGCAGAGGCTAAACTTTGGAGTGGTGTCTGTCTATTTTTATGATACTAAGATCTTCCTGGCAATTTATGATACTCTCTCTTTGGATTTAATTTATCCCTTCAGGAAGTGTGGGTTATAGATCAGTCATTTTAAGCCAGCTGACCTCAGTCACCTTCAGTGACAGGTAAACTGAAGCTTAAAGTGAAAGAATCCCCCGGGTCACTGGTTTCTGCTCAAAGGATATGTGTGTGCTATCAGAATACTCAAATAATAAGAGAAATATGACACAAACTGGGGGCACTCACTTGGAGCAGAGCTGCAGACACAAAACAATAAACTAATGCAAGAACTATTGACATTTAATTCCAGAATCATTAATTCTTCCCAAATGGTCCAGATTTAAATGGAGTTAAATTCGATAGCGATCCCATTTTATAAGATGATACAAGGGACTAATAGCAGTTACTTGTTGAATGACAATAGAGCTGAGCAATATCTGAGGCATTTGCATTACTCAGAGCAGACTTCAAAGATTGTGTGAAAAGGTGCTGCCCATTTTACAGCTTACTGTAATCTACCTGTAAATCTTCAAAATTTTCATGGCTGTTTTGCATGCAAAAAGTTTCATTTCAAACTGAAATGCTAGCCTCAAATATTCAGAGTTGGTTCATTAAATACCCAAAAGCAGTCAAGGATGAAAAAGCCACTTATAGAGTTCTGAGGTGGCTTATCAATTCACCTGCATGTCTGATGGGCAAGGAAGTGTTCCAGTATTTTCAGTGTCTTTGCAAGACTATTTGAAAGGCAGCAAAATGATTAGGTATGTTTGGAGATATTGTGGAAGGCAGTGAACAGTGCAGTGCATTTTTGGAGTGAGTTCTCTTACTAGTTTATGATTTTAAAACTCAAAGGTCCACACTGCAATTTAAGAATTTGTAGTTATTTTAAACAAGGGAGAAATTAGTTGATAGATTCTATTGTCAGAGAGTTATTTAATGCCCTGTTTGAACACTATAGAAATATTTCATTTGAAGTCTTCATCTAAAGATTACATGGGATCAGCTGTCTGAAAGAAATTAAAATGATGGAACATTTTTTCTTGGCTGACATCCGAGAAATCTAGAAGTGGATGATGCCAAACTATCTGCCATATGTGTATTTCCTCTACTCTTATTTTCCCAAATGAAATGTTACCACAAAGGATATTTGCAGTTGAGAAGGAGAGATCAACTAGATTTGGCTTTCCTAGATGTGGTCTATCTCTTAGCAAGTGTTTTACAGTTTCTATTACAAATTTGAAGGAAAGTTTTTCTCATTAACAATTGTCACTTTACGTTTTCAACACAGAAAAATTAAGGATATTGGGTAAGTTTCAAGCCACCATTTTAGAGTTTTAGGCAAGCACTCTCACCAGCTCACTGGGGTTACACCATAGGCACGCAGTATACTTATTAGACATTTACAGATTTTACTTCTATTTAATCAATCCTTTAAACCAAAATTACATAAACAAAGTACATTTATATATATATATATAATTACAAAAATATAATTTATAAACAGTTATGAATAGTAAATACATAATTCCAACCTTTAAACAAATAAGACAAAAAATTGCATTTCAGTAAAATTTAATTTATTAACACTGTAAGGAAAAGATTTCTGATTTTGTTGGGTCAGTTTTAGAATCATAGCTAATTTAGACTGGAAGGAAGCTCTGGAGGACATAATTCCAACCCCCTTTTCAAAGCAGGTCCCATTATATCAGGTTTCTTGTGGCTGTGTCCAGTCAAGTTGAACCCTCCAGAGATGGAGATTCCCCAACCTCTGCTGAATGCTGTGTGCTGCAATGCATTGGTAAGAAAGCACTCTGCATTCAAAATTGTTCTCCATTTTTCTGGATACAATTTGAAATGTTTCACTTTCTATCAGAGTACTTTCTCATTCGCTAAACTTTCTGGATTGCATATATACTGTTCAGGAATTATATGTCAGAACTTTGTACCTCGTGATAGCTAATGGGTACCAAGAGGTACTTCCTCTGTTTAGGCTTGAACAAGCCTACAGTGGTAATAATTAGTTAAGTAGCTCAGAGTGCAAAACTTAGCACAGTAAACAAAACCTTTTGGTTAGTCTGTGATTTGCAGCTGGTTTGTTTCCTTGTTTACAAAACCAGTTGGTTTTTTTCCCAAGCTATTTTAAAGCTGTACTTCATTGCCTCTAAAAGATTTTCTAGGCATTTCCTTTAACCTACAGCATTTTGGTCCCTTATCCAAAGTTTTAATGGTCTTTCATTTATGCTTCTTATGAAAATATTGACAAAAGCCTTTAGCCAGCATCAGAGCCTTTGTGCTCAGCCCTGTACAAATGCATCAGGAGAATTTTTGCAAAACTGGGAATTAACTTCTAATACTTTCCAAACTGCTTTTCCCTTCCTTGTGGGTCAGTTATCCCTTCTGCCTTACCCTATCTTCCTCCCTGGATCTGTCTGAGGGCAGTTGTGGAGATTTCTGATTGAACAGGGGTACGTTCTCATTCCGTGTTTTCTCCTTACCTTTGAAGAGAATTCTAATTTTATATCTAATGTCATTTTTCTGGCTAACAGTCTGAATTAGCAATGTTATAATCAAGTCTCCAGATTTAATTGTCTCTTAGGTTTATTGGGGAGGTGATAAAAAAATCTGTAAATTGCCATCAGTATTTAAAACAGTCCCGTAAAAAACATGCAGTGTTTTAACTCATATTTTTGGAAAAACTCTTGAAACTCTGGCATCATCACTAGAACCACAGGTAGCCCTTCCCAGTGTGCAAACCCCCCATGAGTTCACAGCCCTCTGCAGACCTCATCTGACCTGGGGAGCAGAGGTTTTGCTTTATCCTTACTGACCGGTCCTATCTCACTTCAACTTCTGCCTCTCTTCTCTGCAGATCTCAGTTGAGAATTGCCAAGAAAGCAGTTGTGATTACTTTTGTGCCAAAGTCTGCTTCAAGAAACACATTTCAGAGACACAGTTGATCCCTACCTCTTCGGCATCAGTTACTTGCAGAAGAGAAGTTTTGATCCAAACTAGTACTGGGAGCTCTTCTTCCACCTTCCTGGGAGATCAGTGCTGTGCCTGGTCAGTTCCCCCACCAGAAATGAACATGGGACATTTTGTTTAAACTGGGAAGCCTATAGTGTTGAACCCATCATTTCACATAAAGTAGCTGCCTATCTTCTTGCCATCTCTAATGTAAATCTCCTATGGTATTGTGAAACTTTGTTTATTTTAAGCTTGCAATGTTTCCCAAAGCAAACCATACAAAAAGGGTCTTTTCTGACTTCCACACCATTTTCTACTGAGTTATTTGTTGGAAAGATATGTTCATGTATAATTAAATGTGGCTTGCTTAAACCTTTGCAGTTGGTAGCTTAATATATATTTTGTTGTACTTTGAGTACAAAGGCTATATTATGCTTTTGTTGGCATCCTTGCTGGTTAGTATGCCAACTGCATAATTTTGTTCTCTGTTATATGTCAGGATTCAAGTGCCGAGGGCTCAACAGGTGGTGCTGGGATAAAGTTCTGGCAAATCAAATAGGTAATACAGTTATTCCTTTTGTCAAACTATAATTAGAAACAGAGACGAGTAAAATGAAATTCACATTTTCCTCGTGCAAATCAGGCTTTAAAATTAAATTCAAATCAGTTTCCATGACAAATACACATTACTACTGGAGCCTAGTCTGTAAATAAACATGCAACACCTTAGTTTTGATGTAGAATGATTTGTTCCCTGTAAATTTAAACCTTAAGCATTGGTGTTTAAACAATAACAGAAGACTAGAGTCTTCCAGGAATCTTCTGTCTTTCTTGTACACATTTTGAAGAAAATGTGTCAAAAGCTTCAGAAAAACTTTGAAAAGATTTAAATCTAAAAATTCAAAGCATTCGAGACAATCTGTGATACATAACTCAAATGTTTAACATCAAGAGTTTTCCACCATATTGTTTTCTAATCATTGATGTAACCATGCTCCCAGCAGAAAATGATTAATACACTGGAAATTCCAGTGAATGTGCTGAATGAGGTGCTGCTTATTTTATGCTTCACTTGGATAATGTTTATTAATCCTAAAATCATAAAAATGGGATAAAGCCTTCTACAACAAAAATGCAACAAGTCATGCATATGTAGCTTGGTTTTCCAAATTGCATATAAAAAGACCTATGCACTCACAAGCCTACCCACTTTGCTATTGTAGTTGATTATTTTTTTACACTGAGATGTTTCTATTTTCCTCTGAGGACCTATCTGAATCTAATATATATAATATTCTCTACAGCTCCTACAATCACTGTGGTTTTATTTAGTTTTCCATTCCCTCATTCAAAGCCACTTCTTCTGAGTAATCTTCTCATCTCCAAGTTCCACTGGAGTAGCTTCCCACAGTTGCCTCCAGTAGGCTGGTCACAAACATGTTTATGTCCCTTTCAAACTCTTATCTAATGAAAGGCTTTACCTTTGTATGGAACCAGATGATACATCCTCTTCTGTCAATAACTCATTCCATCTAGGCCTCATTAAGCTCAGAATCACAGAATCATTCAGGTTGGAAAAGACCCTTGGGCTCATTGAGTCCAACCATTAGCCTTAATCTACAAAGTTCTCCCCTACATCCCCAACATTTCATCTAAATGATCCTTAAACACAGCCAGGGGTGGTGACTCCACCACCTCCCTGGGCAGCCTATTCCATTCCTTCCGTAAGTGATTAGGAACTAAGCAGCATGAGAAAAGGGCAGCACATTCAATGCATTAACTTCATTATTTTTACCTTTATATACTGTAGTTACTATTATTTAGTCCTAGCAGAATATATACGTATTTCTCCTACAGTGGCAGGCCGAGGTTGTCACACTGACTGCCAGGGCTGCGGGCAGGCGACGGGACCACTGCCTGGGCCCTGGCCTGGGGCACACCAGACAGAACAAAACATGAGAAACTACTGGACATGGCACAAGAAGTTGCTGGATGTGACAGATTGCAGGGTGAGAAACTGACAAATTTACAGATGATGCTGAGAGGAATTCACAGGTGGTTAAGGAGGAGTTATGTGAGAAACAACCAAATTTCACAGAAGGGTGGGGTTGAGCGCTGGGGTTGTTTTGGGGTGTGGGATAGTGCAAGGCCAACAGTACTCGGTAACCACATGAGCCTGAGATCACCTTGAAATGGTATCAGAAATAACAAAATTCAAATTCAACATCTACAGGAGTTGAAAATGGACCAGATATTGACTGGAATCATGAAAAGCTACTAAATCCATGAATCTTTAAGCTGTTGGCATTTGGCTAGTCATCAGTTTAATTTATTCACACTTTTCAGTATGAAGATACCTGGGAACAGCAAGACATTGGCTGAGAATAAGGATGCTAATTCAACATAACCCTCTTCACAGTCCCATTCTTGGACTGACAGTGTTCCTGGGGAAGCAGGGCACAGCTCCGTTAACCCAGCAAAGTTGCACCCAGCTGCCTCAGGAGTTCAGCATTTGGCAGGTTCACTACAAGGGACTGACTCAGAAGGTACAAACTATTATTAAATTCTTGGCCTCTTTAGGAATACTTTCACTGTACAACTATATTTCTAGACTGACCTGGGACATGCCATGAGGACCAATCCCTGCTCTCTATGATTTACCATTAATGTTCACTGCATGGGAGAAAGTATTCTGGTTTTTCTTTTTTTCTTTTACATAACCATGTTGAATATTTATCTTAAACCTCAGGTAGCTGTTCAAAAAAGAAACAGCTGAGAAGCAGATAAATGTACCCCTTTCACTGACAAAAGATTTATGTCTTGCCTGGCAGGACTTCATACTTACAGAGCTCACAGCTGACATAGTCAAACACAAGTAGCACGTAGTCCAGTGTTTATCCAGGGGAACCAAGACTGCTTCTCCCACACTTTTTTTTGGTGTGAAATAAATCAGCCACATTGAAATTGGCAAAGATTAAAAACATGATAAAATTCCTATTAAAAAGGGAGGAGGGACACTCAGAAGCCATTTGAATCAATGAATACCATGCAAAAATAAGGAGGGTATGCATGAACATTTCTGCTGACCTTCTGTAGGAGCCATTGTCTAGTTGCAAGGTGCCCTCTCCCCCATAGGAATGGGTGGGGAGTTCAGCCACAACACTGACCACCCTTCCCCACAGCTGTCAAAACTATTGTAGTTTGGCTCTAGCATGTGTATCATTAAATTCCATGCTGTGCCAAAAAGAGAAGGGAAATCGTATGAAACGTGTTCTTAGATATGTCTTTGCTAGGGACTGCATATAGCTTGGTGTCACTGACTGCCAAGAGAGGTTTATCTGCATTTCAGCACAAGTTTTAGTCAACATGTATAAAAAAAAACCAACTTTTTTTTAAGTAGGGTGTGAGAAATTTAGATTAGAATAGTAAAATTCTGCATTTGCCAGGAGATCCTTAATTTTCTCCAAGAATAATATGACCATTTCCACAACCTTTGCCAGAGCTCAAATGAAGGAGAAGGAATAAATGCTTTTTTAGGTATAGTGCTGATACTCAGAAGGGCCCTCACCAGATGCCAGAAGTAGGGGCAAGAGACTGGCTATAACTCCATTTCATGAGGTGAGCAGGTAAATTGGTGGGTTTTCTCTTTCTCTGCCCCTCATCACTCTGCCAGTCCAGACACCTGTACCCAGAGAAGTGCTGCTGATGGCAGCATAAACTGCGCATCGGAAAGCACAGGCAGAATTTGCCCGAGAGGAAATAAATTAACCATACATCTGCTTAAAAAATGCCATCCTGTCTAATACAAGTAAGACTATTTTCTTTTGAAGTATTACTGTTATCCTGGGACTGAAAAAAGAATAGAATAGGTAAGAAATTAATTTTCTGGTATGTGTCACGCTGCTGGAAAGCCTAGAGGTTAAAGCACACAACTAGATAGCCACAGACCGGGTCCCAGTTCTTCTTCAGACAATATTCTTTTGCATTGCATTGAGCAAGTCACAATGCTTCTTCTTAAATATTTCATCCATAAAATAAGAATGAACCTACATGACTCCCATTACAATGAGGGTGGTGGAGTTAATCTGACTTGGCTGTGAAATGAGAATGCTCACATACAAACAGGCTCCTAAAATTCAGTTTTACTATTCCATGCGGTTCCATTACCGAAAAATGTCAGATTCTTCCATGGTACTTAGAAATAGAGTAACAACAAATTTTTCTGTTGTTTTGGGGTTTTTTTTTACGTTGTTACAAATCTGAATAGAGTCTGCCCTTTGCTTTTTTATGTACAGCATTGCATTAATTGAGAATTAGAAATGCAATATCTGTTTTATATTTATCTCTTAGGAACAGCCTATACTAGGTTTGATTTAAAAAAAAAAAAAAAAAAAAAAAGTTTTTTCCTGTGTAGTTGTTTGCCATCATTTTCTGTGAGGGTACATAATGAAATGCAGATATTTGGGGGCAGAGAAATATGGAGGGGGCAGGAGGGTAAGTATGTGTATGCTTGTGTGAAAAGGTGTTTGTACATGAACGTACATATATACATGTCACTTCTGAACCTGGAGCCAGATTTCCAAGTGTTCTTGAGTTTACTTACAGAAAAGGAAATATTTAGACTGAAAACAATATCTCTCTGTGTTATTAAAAAATGGGGGGTGGGAAGACAAATCCTCCAGGACAGGAGTAAGATGGATATAATTTCTTCTCTCCCAGTCCTCTTACAGCCCAGAAATATATACTTAGAGTTATATTTTCATCTCAGTTGTATGTGCCAGGTCTTAGCTAGCCGCTCAGGCTTTGTCCGTGGATGTTGCCCTACTTTCATTGCTCTGTCTCTGTGTGCCTCCAGTTCAGTTTTCCTGCTCTGGTCTGTGCGGTAAGTGAACCCTCGCAGGGCTCTGGCTGGCTGGAGCATCACCTGCTGCATCTGTCCAGCCTGTGACATGTTTAACGCTTTCTTTTCCCCTTCAGATGAGGACAACCATGCTCAAGGAGCACAGACATGGTGAGGACTGTTGAGTGCAGACAGCCCAAGCAGGCAGCACCCCACTGCCAGGGATAGGAGGGCTCCCAGCACATCTGCCCCAGCTAGTCAGGCACAGAAGCTGGCTGGGGAAGAGGCTGAGAATCAGAGTCTGGGCTTAGACCTGTCTATGCATGCTCCCAGACTCTGTTCTGCCAGCCCACCTATCTGCTTACAACTTCCCATTTTCCTTCTTGTGGTTCTCATATACACGCATGTAGCAAGATGCTTTTTGGAGTCCTCTTAGCTTGTCCCTCAGAACTGTCCTCTCTATTTTCCTTTCTATAAGATCATTTCTATTTATTTTTACTACAAATAATCTAAGCGCTGGGGACCTGATCCACACCAAGTCCTGTCATTGCGAGACCTAAAATGGCAATGTCTACCCTGAGGTGTCTTGTTTCCAGTGATAGTCACTCTAATAGGCATTGTCTCGCATCACATACCTAAATTTCATAACAGTGCAGGAGAAGGTCTTGATATCTTACTTGAAATCTATTTCAGCCTTTTTTTTTTAGGATTTTATTATGATTAATGGATGGACTAAACTATTTGTAGTGCATTTATTATCAAAAACAATATTGAAAGTAATTTGACCCCTACAGTACTTTCTTTTTTAATAATACTATACAGTGGCAAAAAAAAACACCCTATGAAATCCTATGTAGAGATCTTTATCTTAGTTGAACTGGTTGAAATATAGACAATGGAAATTCTCTGGGTTGACATTGGTATAATAGGAAGCAGCATATGACCTGCTCTTCTGAGAAATGTGTTGTCACCACAAACTACATCACCATACATACATAACATATAAAAAGTTTGTCAGCCTGTTCTTGTGAGCTCTTTTATCATGGCTACTTAATCATCTGAATAAAGCCACGTTTTTCATTATTAGAAACATTACAGTCTTGCAAAATCTGAAATTGCATAGGTGAATGTGAATGCTTTTATGATTAAGTCATTTTGCTCTAAGTACTGGAGAAATCAGGTAATGCCAGGTAATGCCTAATATTGTGTTAGTCAACTAGCAGGTCAAGTGTAATATGAAAGCACTGAGTTCAGAAGACCTCTCCTAGCACATTGTGTTTCACCAAAGGACTACTCTGTTTCTCACAGGACTTGAAAAGTTGGAAACTCAAGCTAATATTCTTGTCTGCACCTTCTTCAGCAGTTGGTTGTGCCTCCCCTAGCACATGTGTGCAACACCTCGCCTGGCAATGGTCTGACCCTGAGAAGGTTCTCTCACTGCTGCTACAGAGGACAGCATTGTGTGCCACACTAGTCCATTCCCTGCTATGAGCAGCTGTACTGTTTAGCTCTGAGGAGTGAGAGCTGAGGTAAGACAGTGACTGAGATATCTGGATGCCAGTACTGCTTACTGACCCGACACATTCAGTAGAGCTAAGCTGCCAACTTTCTAAGTATAAGGAAATAAATTATGTACTGATGTTACCATTCTCAAATTCAGCTCCTCACAGAAAGACAAAGTCAAAAATATCAAGCTTTGCAGCAATTTATCTTAAAACAGCAAGGGTAAATAAATAAAGGAACAGCTAGCATGGTCCTCATGGAGTCCACTTAAAGGCACAGTAACGGTTCAGTGTAAATGTATATAATTAAATAGCCTTTTCAAATATAAGAAGTGGTTATCATGTCAAAAGGAGTAAAACGCCATCCTTCAGAAAGCAAGCCATGTCCAATGGAGAAAAAATAGGTAATAGACTGGAGAAGTTAACTAAATGAACAATAAATTGGCTAACAACATTTTGAAGAGTGACCAGCCAATCATACAAATCTAATAAAACTGTGTTCAGTTACCTCAGGCTCTGGAAGGTCACTAGTGGATTGGTGGTGCCAACACATGACAGAGGTGCAAAAGGAGCAGTTCTGAAAGAGAAGGCCATTGCAGGAAACATGAATGTGTTGTTTGCATCAGTAATCAGCAGAGGACAGGGAGGTTCCCATATGAGACCAAAAGACTCCAGGACTGTATCAGATTAAAATGTCAAACAAGTACAACACTTGGAGCAGAGGGTATTCACTCAAAATTTCAAAATGAACTCAGATATGAAATTGCCAGTAATGACTCTGCATAATCAATTATTTGCACTAACCTCAGTACCACAGTCAGGGAAAAAGATGGAAATCTCTGAGAGAGGCTCTGGAGGTGACTGTGAGAACTAGGAACTAGTAAACCTGACTGCTGCAGCAAACAAACCGGTACAAGTTGTAAAAAGAATCAAATTAGTCAACATGGAGAAACATATATCCATCAGAGAGGGGCCCACCTGACTTTTGTCGAAGACAGTCATGCCTCCCAAACCTACTAGAGCTCTGTGGAGGGATCAGCATGCTGTGCTTAATGAGGAAACCCCAGCAGCCCAGTTAAATGTGCACCCTCTGAGACACAACTGCGTACTGTCCACCTTACTGACTGAGTGAACTAGCTGTGTTAGTCATAAAAATCTATTGCAGTTATAATATTACAGGGCTTTGGTTTTCTTGTTGGATGGAACAGAATTCTCTATACTTCTGACTTTTTGAAAGCTGCAAGCCAAATCTCATATACATCAATTAGACTGAAAATGTACTGCTGGAGCTGCCTATGGAATATAACTTAATGATAAATTGCACGGATGCTGTTGAGAGACATAACAGAGTGTTATGGCCATTGTTCATCCTTTGGTATTTGGTCTGCAGAGTCTGAGCTTGTTAATCAGCAGTTTGTCCTGCTTTTACTCGGGTACGTTCAACGCCAAGAGTGAATTTCCTCTATATGCTTTTCCACTGTAAGCTTTGCCAAAGCTCTTTTGTTCATTATGTCAGTCAGCTGTGCTTTTGCTCTAATTGTGCCAGTAACTCATGTCTGGAGATTATTCATTCTGGTCTGGTGCAACTAGCATTCTGTCAGTCTGAAGCTGCAGGAGACATTGCAGCTTGTGCAGACCCAGTTCAGGTCTGGCGACAGCAAGCATGATTCTGGACTCTTCTTCCAGTGCCCTGCAGTCCTGAACAAGGGGATTTTGAAAGTGCACTAAGACTGTGAAAATACTAATTTCTGTGTTATGTACAAAGAATAAGGAGTACAATAGCTCATGTAGCCTGAGTGCTCCTTTTGGGACAGATTTGATCTCACTGTTTGTGAGATCTGTTACAAGAGCTTTTTTTGAGATCATTATAAGATTGGTATAAGAAAATAATTAAAATTACTGTCAGGAAAATTAAATTTTGAGTAATATCTATTACAAAGCACTAGCTACAGCAATACTAATGCTAGTTATAACACTAGTATTCTTCCTTTCTCTGTATGTTTGGGGGGGTTAGATTATGGTTGCATGTAACTTTGCAAAAGCAGTTGTATATCACAGGCTGATTCTTTTGAAGAATAGATCAGCTGCAAGAGATCACCCATTCCTGGTCAGGGAGAATATATCACTTATTTGATAAAGCACTTCTTTGATAAAAGATATAAAAATTATTCATACATTGTTGTCTACAACTTTGAATTCCATTTGGCA